CTTGGCTTATGCATAGTCGGGGTCACTGCGAGCCATGGCTTGCCAAGCGTCTGGTGATTTCGGCCGTCGCAGTGGCGATACCGGGCCTTTTCCTGTTGTCTGCTGCTCTGGTGGTGCGGCAGACCGAAGTACGGAGAATACCCACTGCCTTGCAAGAGCCTCCAAGAAAGTTGGGTTTGCCTTGGAATCCTCCACTGTTGGATGCCAAAGGTATCGCGCAAGTGGAATCTGGCATCAATTTTTCCATGGATTGCAACGCGAGCTGTCGAGAGAAGACGTTTCAGTGTAGGGAACTTGAGGTGCCCAGGTGTGCAGGCATGGACTGCAACTGCTCCAAGGACTTCCTGCTTCCTGGCGAATCAGCAGCTTTGCCAGCTTTGCCTCGTCATCGCCATGGTCGTTTTGCAATTATTCTTGCAGGCATGACTAGGTCCTTTGTTAGCAAACTCATGAACGAGTACTGGCGACTCTTTTTGGCTCGCTTCAACAGAGATTTGGTCCTCTTTGCCGTTTTGACCACCATTTCGAAGCAAAAAGTCTCTCTGACGGGCTTGCCACAGAGGAAAGACCAGGCGAGAGTTGCGCTGTCTCAAAACTCCTGTATTTGAGATTTCTGTGGGGGTTGCAGGCAGAAGATCGAACCTTTGCTTCCAACCCTCCCAAAGGCAAGACATTCAAGCTAGTTTCATTTCTCAGTTTTTCGATTTTCCGCAGATCTGATCCATTCTATATATAATCCTATTCATTTGTTTCATTTTTGTCAGGGTGTCGTTCGGAAGGGTCGCCGCACAAGAGGCGTTCCCGCCTGTGATGCACATTCAACTTCACTTACTCTCCAATTACTGTACCCCGGTACCCCCTACCAACTATTTTGTGTGCTCATCATCTCCAGTATATAAGGGGCCTTTGGCAGGCAACCTTTCCTTTAGTAATCACGAAGAATGTGGAATAAGGAAGGATAGGGAGGCTTCAAGACTGAAACAGCCAGGTCTGGTCCCAATTCACGATCGACGAGCTGCGAGAATGTTTGGAGAATCTCAATGTGACATGGGATGCAGTTTTTGTGGAAGGTTCTTGCACTTGGCAGGTGGCGCGTGGGCATATTCAAAACCCAACACTCCGAGAAATGCTGGCAGTAGAGGCAAAATTGCCAGGAGAAGGTGGACAGAACAACCAGTTTCGTGCTCAGGTCATAGCTTTTGATCGTTTGTTGCGTTATGAATGGCTGACAGGACACCGGTTTCAACACATACTCGTGCTGCGGCCAGACTTTGCACCTTATTTGGGGCACGAGGACCCTGCTGTGGTAGTCACATCGGTGAACAACAGTGTGTTCTTCTACAACGATTTGATCACAATATGTGCGAGGAAATTTGCCACGTCTGTCTTCACCTTGCCTGCAACAATACGTTCATTCCATACAGCACGGGATAAGGATGCCTGGCAGTCTTTGACTTGGAAACTTCGGAATCGCTCCAAGACTCACTTTGCCTTGATGGTACCTCATGCTCATCTTGCTTTTCATGGAGTTCCCATTTGTGGTGGATTTCTGCAAGCAATTCCTGATATCCCTTGCACCCAAAGCAACTTCGAGGTCCACACGACCTTGGGTTTTGTCCGGGATCTTTGGAGAGTCCAGGGGCCGCAACGCGTGTGCGTGGATCGCTTCAGAGGGGCACCTTTGAACTTCATCAAGGACTATTTTCGACGGCTTGGGATGAATGAAAGTCTCTTTCAAAACCTCAGTCTGTGCCATGAAGACATGTAAATAGTTGAAGCCGTGAAAGCACATCTAGGACAATTAGTAGTTGCTTTATCAAGATTGCCTGGCATATAATGCCAAGAAAAGGAGCGATGACACGAACGCGTGCAGTTAGATGACAACCGGATACAAGGTGAACCTGCCAAGATACCAACAGAATCTCTCGTCAAGATCTCTTGAGAATCTTTATACTTTATACCAGCTTTGTACAACACCTGCCTTACAACTGCAAGATCTCTACTTTTACAAGATCTGGAGAATCACCACTCTTTTGCCAAGGACAGACACATTGAAAAACTTCATAACCGCCTCAGATCAAGACATAATATTTCAATCCAGAATCACCTGCTCTCCAAACCCAGAAAACACTACATTTGGATGCACAAGCCCAGAAACAACCAGCGATGTTGCAACTGTTGTTATTGACGTTGTTGACATCGTGGTTACTGTAGTTGTTGTCACTAAGAAAAATGCCACATGCTCCCCTTCTACTAGCAAACGGGATGTAGTGATGGAACCTGTGAGACTGATGGGATGTAGTGGCCAACGCATAAAGTCAAAGCAAAGACTTTCAAAGATGACAACATGTCGAGAAAGTGAAAACACCGCATGAGAGGCCGTACACCCCAAAGCCCAAAACCCCCAAAGGTGATACTGTAAATAACCCCGGTGGCCTGCAAAAAGCTGGGAACTGTCAAAACCATCGACGCCGTAGAATTGTTGCAAATGGAAGACACCTGCAAGTTGCGGAACGGCTCTATTCTCTTGAAACGAGGTGCTTTCCTTCCTGGCAAGTGCCTGATGATTTTTTCTGGTCAATTGACAGAAGCATGGGAGAATGAAGCGTTCCTAAGAAGTCACCCATGTTTATATAGGAGTTCTGAGTGACCCATGGTCGTGGATTTATGGGCTCTTCATTCTGCTTGTTTCTCTTCCTCTTTTGCGCCACCCCGGAGGGAAGGCTGCTCCACCTCAGATGGAGAGATCACTGTGGTCAACCTGTTCGTCTCGGCTCAAAAACATAGCTGATTCCAAAGCTCCATTTGTTTGTTCCGGGAAGAAACCCTTGCTTCCCAAAGGCCTGGCAAGGGATTGGAGACAACACTGCAAGGTGAGTAGTCCTATTCAGGGCAGTCTGGGGGCACAACAGAAACTCTCACTGGCTTCCAGATTTTAAGGCAAGACACAGGTGGTGGAGCTTTTCCCAGAAATACGTAGATAAGAAGCCATCATTCACCGCACCTACATTACTCCCCTCTATTCTTTCTTAAACAAAAAGGGCAGCAGAGAACACCCATGCCCATGCCGAGCGAGGGTTGGAACACATCTGTCTTTGACCAGATGGGTGCTTGACCAGATGAATTTGAGGGTCAAATTTGAGGAGTTTCCTTTTTTCGGTTTGGTTGCTCCTCGTACTTTCCAGGTCGATGCGCTGACACCAGCCCCCATGCGGGTGGGAACCCAAACATCTGTGCGATTCTGCAAAACGAGTGGATCAGAGAGGGCCGAGGAAGGACAGTGCAAGGTTCTTTGCAGTAGACTCTGTAGACATGATTGTTGATGTGAATTTGGGTCACTTACAGGCTTTGTTGCATTTTGTTTGAGTCTCATGAAGCCGATGTTGGTCATGGTTCCCTTGGTGCTGTGATTTAGGAGGCAGCACACACACACACACAGTGGCTCAGAACGCAGTGGAGGGGTAGGTCGAAGGCAGGAGGAATGACCTCGATTTTGCTGTTCGTCCTTTTTTGGAGCCTTTTGTTCCCCTGCCCTATGCCAGAGAAGTCTATGCCATTCTTCACTGTTAAGGCCTTGTTGCTGCTTGTTCTTTGGGACCAGGCAGGGGTCCTGCTTGATGACGAAGGATGGTTGGTGATGTGCAACAGGGAATGCGGGCACTATTGCTTGGTCTCGGTCATTTTGTGCGTTTGTGACAGCGATGCTTGTGTGCGCAGAGCGAGTGGTGCACAAAAGTCAATTGGGGGCATTTGGTCACCGGCGAAGTGAGCGGGGTATAATATGCCTGATGCACCATGCCCAAGACACCCAATTGCCACCCCAACTCAGCAAAACGATTTGGCAAAGTCCGTGGATTTGCCCGATCTCATAGCCATGCGTTTGTAAATAGTACAATAGTAATCAGGAAGGATGCAAGTTGGTGTCACCTCAGCTGTTTGTCAATGTCACTGGGGATCAGACTTTCAAGACATCCGAATCTGTCGTTAGGCGATGCCCAGATCTTAATATCCATTAGCACTGGGCGCTGATCCACACATTCTTCCGTGCGTGGCGATCCCGAAGGTCCTGAGCAGTGAGGTTGACTGCTTCGATGGAGATGAGGTGCATGACCACCCCTTGGCCGCGGTGAAGTTCTTACAGTTGCTTAACACGGACTGTTAGACAACAGTTTTGGGATATTTTCTTGCTGTGGGAGTTCAACCGTGAGCGACTGGATATCAGAACCTGTCAGACCTGTAAAGGCGTTTCTCCTTCCGCTAGTTATTACTGTAAGTTTGGACTGGAGAACAAGCATGGACGTGGAGAGTTGCCTGTTGGAGAACTCTTTTTTATTGACATATATATATATATATGTGTTGAAGGAGGTGTCCATCTTCATGCATGAACTGTGGACTGCCCACATTTTCGCCGTTCCCGATCAGCACCAGCACCTGATCTTCGGTGCGGAATACCATCAGACTCAGATGTCTAGCTAGACAGCGCATTAGACCTACTGGAACATTCGACCAAACCAAGAGAGCTCATACCCCTCACCAAACCATCAGCCACCTGGTGGGGGTCCATCAATCATCATTACCATCCAAACCCACTTGTGGGTAGAGAGTGATATGTCCAGGACTTAGTGACGAAGAAATTGCGTGGAAAACCTGTGGACTTGCGGACAACACTTTTACTGAGGAAGTCTTGTCGAAAGCCTGCCAGAGCATTCTTGTCGACAAGCAAAGCCTGCACGCATCAAGTGCCCATCAGTCATTGGACAAGAGCTTTGCCTTGGGGAAGATTCAAACACACCAATGAACTGGCATCAGGCTCAACAGGCGCATACAAAACCAGGCAACACTTTGGATATCTTCAGTCTTTGGCTTCTTATAACACCCATGGAACACTCAACCACAAAGCCACAGAACTCAGAATCAAGGCCACTGAGACCGACACTGGGGTCTCCTTCGCTCGCCCGACACCGCTGGACGCCCGTGATTCATGGGCGAGAAGTTGGCGCATGGAGGAGGAGGTAGCTCGAGCCTTAGGAAGGAAGGCAAAGGGGAATAGAGGCGAGCGACCAAAACACAATTGCAGAAGGTGAGCATTGGCACCAGGAGGATGCTTTTGAATATGCCTCATGCTGGAGCGCCAACTTAGCAAGAGAGCATTTCATCATCCCTCCATCCCTGTAATTTCAGGTGCTTGAGGCCTCCAAGCGTCGCAAGGGAGCCCGGTGACGTTTTGAGTGACGTTTGAGGTGGATGCCATCAATGAAATAATTTGTTCCAATCCTTAAACACATTATGATTGAAGCTTGAGAAGCTTGGAATACACCCCGGCAGACTCATTTAAAATCTGTGCTGTATCCCGCAACATAACCCATGTGAAACATTTCTGCTTTTGTCCTAAAGACACTCTTCTTGGCTAATCCCCCATCTGCTTGCAATTTGAACCACACGAACCATCATGACCCTCCAGGGGTGAGATCCTTTGCTTTGTTGGATAGACATGCCGCTGCCTTTGTTGGTTCCCAGATGTTCTGGTGCTGGGAGCCGGCATGGCCGGCCTGGCGGCGGTCTGGGGACCTGGCGGGACCTGGAAAAAGCCCGGTGGCGCCGGGACCCGGGTCTGGGAGGTTTTCGGAGGAGACACTTGTGGAACAGCGGAAAGAATGCTTGGGCATTTGGTGAGGGCACTTTGCAGCCAGTGGTACGATTTTTGGTGGTTTTCGGCTTGTAGGTAGGGCCACAGCTTGGGAGGATCCGCCTCAGGTTTGTCATTTGTTTTGGGGGGTGTGGGGAGACTACTAGAAACTTGAGATGGTTGAAAGGGCACTGGTTTAGCACAGTTTAGTACATTTCGAGTGTTTCCACAATTAGATTCAGGATCTTTGTTGAAGCATGACTGAACCAAGCTAAGGCAACTATTGCAGTTTTGTGTTTGAGGCATCAGACCTGTACGACATGAAGACCTTTTTTGGAATGCCCCAAACTTGTAGTGACTACATTGTAGTGGTGAAACAAGTTTGTTTTACTGTAATTATTTGGTGCAGTGCTTCCAGCAGATCCAGGTCGAAAACAAGCGACATGTCCAGAGACAAATTGCCTCAATAATTTGCTCACTGCAATGACCCAGCAGAAAGTCACCTGAGTTGTCAAAGGTGAACAAGGGAACTCCAGCTCAGACCCATTCCATCCTAAACCAACCTAAAAAACATCCAATGAGCCACGTACCTTGGCAATTTGCCAGCCAAAAACAGCGCTTATACAGTCAACCCAAAGATCTCATCAGTCGAAACATCCACTGTCTCATCCTCCATCCTCGTCTACTCTGAGGTGCGGGAGCTCCGGCGGAGCTTCTACGTGACGGTGGTGGATGCGAAGGTGTCAGTTCCTACGTGACCAAGGGAGCTGCAACTCCTATCTACAATTTGAGTTTGCTTTCTCATGTTTTCTCTCAAGTTTTGAACTTTCAGAGAATCGATTAGGCCATTAGGCAAGATCCTGCTAGAGGCATGTTCTACTTGATTCCCAAAGGCCCTGGGCTACCTGGCCAATATGGCCAAACACGTGCACGTCGATTTCTGGATTCACTAGAGTCTAAGTGTGTCAATTTACATCAATGTCCATCTCCACCGACCCACTGGTGTGAGATTCCTTCCACAACCCAAACCCGATATCTTCTTGGCACCGGGCAGGAGTACTTCGAGTTTACTCCTGGTATCCTTCGGGCCGGGAGCCTATGGAGCTTGTAGTCTATCCGCACGGAGGTGGATCAAAGCCGTGGCATCTCTTTCACTCCCCATGTGCCAGTGGCGGAAGGTTTGTGACAAATCATCGTAGTTTAGGCAAGACACCAGAAATTTAGACAGATCCGCCCGACCTGAGCCCAAAATGAGTTCATTTCTGCTTTACACATGCTTGGTGGTCAGTAGCTTGCGGACCTGTGAGACCCCCAAATTTCTGAACGGACCTGTGGTTCCCTGCAGATTGCTCCTTCCGGCAACCGCCTTAGCTTGGTAGTGGAGTTCAGAATCATGGCAAGTCCTTGCCGTTCTCGTGAATTGAACTGCACTTTTCTTCACTCCTGACATTTCTGCGCAGGCCTATGTGAAGCCAGACCATTGGGAGACCCTGGTCTTTCCTTACCAGGAGGCTGCATGGTCTGAGGGTGGATTTTGCAACAGGTTGTAGAAGGGAAAGCCTCTGCATCGGATGGCACAACTCTCAAAGGATGCTCTGGGGACATCCGCCTGCTGTTGGAACAGGACAGTCCTCCAGATGATCTCGATGTCATGGCTCTTTTCTCTGGGAGGTGGCCCAACAAGTGCAGTTTCTCGTCTGGGCCACTCGACTTGGATCCTGCATTTTTTCACACACGTTCTTTTTGTCAGGTCCTCGAGAGCCGTTTGAAAGTCAGCTTCGTCTGGGGCGAAGTGGTTGTTGCTTGGATGAGAGAGAGAGAGAGAGTGCGCGCGCGCGCGCGCCCGCGCGCCAGAGACGACCAAACTGCTGGGTACTGTTGCCCGACTGCCGGCACGGATGTCCGTGAACATGCATATTTTGTCCAAAATACAGTAGATGTGTCTGAACTTCACAGGTATTTAATCTCTTGTTTATTCTTCTTTGTGTGTAGCATAAATTCTGCACTTGAGCCTTTCAGAGATCCCTTTATTTCTTTGTGTTGGGTCAACTCGTGGCAGTTTGTGTGTGTCCCATCTGTCCACTTGTTTCTTTTGCAACCTGAAGTTTCGATGGCAAGTCGGGCAACAGGGCACATAATCAGCCTTTAGAAAGCCTTGCTGGCACCTCTTTAATCAATTTCCAGCAGCTAGCAGCCTTCTAGAACATCAATTAGATGACCAACATTATATGTTGGGTGGCTGTGGCTGCATGCTGGAGCTAGCCAAGGCTCTCAACTACCACTGTGTGAGCCTTGGAGGAGTGGAACGTGCTTTGAACTTTGGGCTTCTTGAGTGGAGTACCCATCAAGGAAGCTAGTGCTTTAAGCATGCTACAATCCAACGTGCTCCAATATGATTTTCTAGTCCGTTCTTTTCCAACGACAGCAACGCCCTCTGGACCATCAACCCAAGGCGCAAAAGTGCAGATGGTGCAGGGTGAGGAACCTGAGGAGGAGCCCCCGATGGATGCAGGATGCACCTTGAGAGCTCGAGAGAAAGTCTGATTGGTTGGGGGTTCCTTGTTTGAAACAATCTATCTATCACTGTTCTGGAGGTTCCTAAGACTTCTAAGAGAATCAGTTTCTTTTTCTTGACACCAGTTTTTCCAGGCTGAACACATGAACTTCGTCAGAGATCCCTCTCGAGCATCAATATTGTTTTGGTGATTGAGGTAAGGACATGTAAAGCAATTGTAGAGAGAGAGAGAGAGATCAGGGTAAGGGAAAGCATGAGAATCAGTGAACCAGATCCCGGAATTGGATTTTGCTGAGTTGTGCTTCAATGAAATGTTCAATAGTATTGCAAAGAGCCCCTCTGGTGGGTTCTCTCAAGGCTTTACTTCTACATGCAAAAGCCCGTTTGCACGATTCCTTACAGCGAAACGATTTTCCAGCTCCTCTCCGGTGGACTTCGATCTTCCTGCAAGGAGATCCCCTTCCACTTCTGTATCATCACCACTGGTTGCAACTTTGACCAGTCTGGGGTCCTCAGATTCTCATCTGGTTGTAAGGGTGACACTCCTTGGTTTTTGATTTGTTGCCGTGCCTATAGTAGAATGATGAGGAGCTGCCAGCTGTTGACTAAGAATCAAGATAGACGGATAGACACATGCGGCCTATCGAACTTATTGTTGAACTGTGACATTGATGTTTCCAGACCTCAGAACCCCGGCCTCTCACCTTCTCAAGCCAACAGTCCACCTTAAGTATTCTTCAAGCGAAGTACAAATGGCAAAATGCATCAAATGCCAACCCGCTCGTAGCCTGTAGGAGCTGCTAGATTGTTCTTATTGGACACCTTTGACCTATACCTTCCCCAGCAGCTGCATCACTTCCAGCCGCATCCACTTCAGCTTTGCAGACCTCGAGCCACATCCCCATTTTGGGGATTGAAATCGACGCCGCAACTCCACGGTTATGGCCACTTCTCAGGTTGTCTGAGTATGGTGTCTCGTGGGGACGCCTGGAAGACGTGACCCTCTCGGACCCTCCTCGTTGGAAGAAACAATCGAAGACCGGTTCGATTCTACTGCTACTGTAGCAACATGTAGCAACTGACACAACCTGCCTGGCTGTATAATAAGTAATACTCAATCTACGGACCGGATGCATACCACTGAAACCTGGAATGATCTATTTGTTGCCTTGCAAACACTCGCTCCTCGCCACTTCAGGCCCTGGTTTCCGGTGATTCACGAGTGTGCTCGGGCGCAGAGGTCTGGTCATCCAGCTGTTGTGGACGAGCTCTCCAATGAGTTCGGTCCATCATGGCCCATGGCTGTCTACACTCTACACCTGAAACGTTGCTCACCGGAAAACCCACTTTGAGCTATATAGCAGGACCGTGATATTCACAGGCACGACATATATTCTCAACTAACTACAATCCTGAATCCTGTGGACATGCTAGTGAAAAATCATCCTTTGGTCCTTTGCCCCTTTTGAGACTCTGATGTGCTTAGCTGCCACAGGTCGGCCATGGATGAACGCTATTTGGAGTTCCGGCGGCGCCGCATCCTGCAGGAGCACCAGCAGCTGTAGGGACACCTGGATTGACCCTGGTGATCGTGTGCAACCTGTTTGCAACCAAAAACAGGCTGCAAGTACTGGTAGTGAAAAGATAGTTGATCAAGCCCTCAGAACAGGTGTCATTTGCAAGATACTATATATCAGATCACACAGACAGTGAAGTCAACTTTGATGCCCCACTCTCGAGAGGCTGTGATCATTGAGAAGAGATAATGCATTTTGTTCTATATATCGTTACCGGATGTTATACGAACCCACATCTTGGGAACTGTATGGCCATTTTCGATGTATGGTGGTTCCACGGAATTGAGATTTCTTGGCCATCAAATATTGAAGAGGACACACATTATCACTTCATCTTCTCAACTTTCACTTCTAACAGACCTTAAGTGAAGCTGAGAGTTGACGTTCTAGAGCCCAGTATTATCCAAGCGACAGTACCATGGAGCACGAGCTCTTGCTGGATTTCCCTTCAAGGGGTGGGAGATCCCACCGGCTGATTGAACTGAGGATTGAACTCAACAACAAGCGAGCGCGAATCTTGGACGGGATGGGAGCATACACCTTTTGCTTGACATTTTCCGATGTATCATGTCGAATGTGACCGTCCTCTGTATGGCGCCAAAACTGCAGAAACACAGGAGTAAAGTCTGAATGGTCTCTTTAAACGGATAATTTAAGGGGTTGACGGTGGGAGAAGAGGGGGTTTGTCCAGCTTGAAGGGAAGGCAGAACGATCTAGAAACAAACCTGCACAACCATAGCTTTTTGCTACTGTTTTCCATAGTTTTTTTTAGATTTTAGAGTTCACTACTCTTGTCGTGGGCATCCTGACGGTTGGCCCCTGCCATTCCTTCCCAAGGCGCACATCTTGGTGGTAGGTGCTGGCTACCAGGGGGTCCAGTGGGCGTGTGAGTGGGGGAACTTAGCGTGTTGAGGGGTGGAAGCTGCTGCGAGGAGAAGGGCAGAACACTTGTGGAAACCCAAAATGGACCGTTGCTTCTTTCGGGTGGTGTTGGCTCCCCGGATCCTCTCTACACTTTACGTAACATGCATGGATTGTCCAGCAGACACTGAGGTCTCGAGAATTTTAAGCACTGGTTCGCAGAACTCGTTGCTTGTGGTGACATGCATGTTGTAAAGTTGTTATTGTGCTTCCAGGCGAGGAAAACAAGGAGAAGGATGCAGTGATGCCTTTATATGCACGAGTTTGCCATTTCTCACTGCTCACGGCTCCGAGAATTCCTGATTGGTTCGACCATGTGAACCTGCTGAGGCTGCGATACTTCTTTCCCTCTTTGACTGTCTTCTTAACTGACTTCATGCCGTTGGGGAGCCCAGTTGGCAGGGGGTTCTCCAATCTCCTGACCGCTGACGTAAAGTTTGGCTGTGGACTACTCCTGATACCACTGACATGTGACACATCACGTCACGTCCAGAATGTTGCAAAGACGGACCACCTGCTCAGATGCAACCTTCGATGGAGAGGAAAGACTTAAACTTTGGATGATAAATGATAACTTTAACTTAGTAGTTTACTGTCTACTGTAATTTAAACTGAATGCTGAATGCTGCAAATCCAGGTCAAGGGAAAGCATAGTTGCTTTAGGTCCATAGCCTTTACAAGGTTTTCTACCAAGGTATGCTTGGATCACAGACCACGTGCCCAATCCTCACGCGACTTTAGCCGGAAGGCGGTGTTTGGGCCCCTTACCTGAAGAGGCCGCGCAATACTGCGAGGAGAGACCGCATCCAATGGCGAGAGACCGAGTCAAATTGGATGAGAAAGAGCGTCCGCAAGCCATGGAGTGTGTAAGTAATTACACATGGACAGGAAACATGTGTCGCTTGAGTTCGGAGGAGTACATGCGGAGCCACGGCATCCTCACAAAGTACAACATCAAGTGCCCAACAGCCATTTTTGTTTGAGGGTTGGTGGCCAACCCTCATTTGAGCTCAGTCAAGCTGCAGGTTGGCTACATCAGGCTGTTTTTTCTTCTTTTTCATCTTTGATTGAACAAACATATAGCGACGGACTGACAGATAGAATGATAGTACGGACATGCCTGTCGTGCCGGGTATGGGGTATGTATAGTAAGGAAAGGAAGAAAGAAATGAAGAGGAAGAAAGGAAGGAAGAAAGAAAAACACATCTGGGACAATTGCGTGCACGATCTTCTATTTGGAACTGCCCGAAGCACCCCAAAAATGAGGTCTTCTATGGTGACGGATCAACATGTTCAATGCTGTTTTGGAATTTGCGCATGACTGTAATTTGACATCTGTGTCCGCACAAATGCCTCATTCTAAGCGTATGAATGTGGCAAACGCACATACAGAACTCCCGCAGATAGGCCTATACTCGGGCTAGGGTAGACCCTATCCGGGGGCCCTAGGGGGCTAGGCTAGCCATCAAAGCTAAAGGGAAAGACAGGGAAGAACTTCGCAAAGGGCAGGACAAGTTGGATTATAACCACCTGACAAGAGTAAATTCCTTACCCGGGAGCTTTCCCGAGAGACAGGGCAAACAAACTAGCAAGGGAATGTGCGCACTTAGAATGCCGAAGGTCCCTGAGAAGGGGATGAATTCACATATCTAAAGGCCTGGACAGACAGACAGCCGAAATGAAAAGGGACAAAGTGCGTACAGCACAGTTGCCGAGTGTGCCCGCCATGTTTTCCTTGACATTTTCTGTGACAGACAAAAAATAGATGCATATCATATATGTGTTGATCAGGAGTATGGCCCGGCACTCTATCTCTTAACCCCCAGAAGTAGGTCTCCGGGCATTCTATCTTTCATTTCACACTTTTGCCAAGCATTCTATCTTTCAGTCCGTCGCTACAGGTGTTTCACTTTGGCCTCTTTCTGTGTTTGTTGGTCCCTCTTCATTGCCACCCACAGACGTCACCTCAGGGCACCTGTGCTCGACCGAATGTCTTACGCTGGTGGATAGCGACGAGGTATGACCGAAACAGCGACGGCTTTTGGCAAAGGATCGGTCTTCCCCATGGAGCCGCCAAGCCTGGGAGCCACAGGTGGTCGAACACGCAAACCATGGTGGTGGCAGACGGGAGCCGCAGCAGCTGGAACAGCGCAGCAACAAGTGTGATTGATTTATTCATATATATATATATATATTTGTGCGGTGAAGGCGAAGGAAGGGAGATATACAATCAGTAGATTGACTGGCTCAAATGGGATTGGCGACGAGCCTTTGGTTGAGCCTCACTGAGGACTTATGTGCTCTCTGGCGCTGGGTGCTGAATTGACAACATGTTTTAGGGCGATGCCTAGCTGCGACAAGTTTGTCCAGCATCGTCAACATGCACACAATTGTGTCGGAGAGAACTTATGCTGGGTAAGGAGGGATCATACAACGCCTCATAAACATTCAGATTCACAACGGTTGCCTGTTTTTGCTACTTAAGACTGCCAACAACTGTCAAATCCTTGGCTGAAGCTGTTTCCACCTGATATTTAATAAGTCCATCGTTTTGCAAGCCCCGCAAGTCCTTTTCGTGACCTCCTGTTTGACTCCTTCAAGGCCAAACATTCCAACTACTTTGTGGATGAGGCCGCCCAAAGCCAACGAGGGTCCGGACCCTGACCGGGTCGGCCAAGCGCCGCCGTGTCGGAAGAATGGGACTGGTGTCGGAAAGCCTTGGGATTTTTTGTCGTTCAATCTCATCCCATGTCATCCCATGTCGCATTTTGGGAGAACCACCCAGCATCACCAAGACATTTTGATTGGGTTGTTAGTGGGGGATGAAGTTGCTAGCAGCTCCAAGATGCCTATGTGGGCCTTGTTTGTTGTGAGAAGGCAAAGTAGTGCTGAGGCCTGGCGGTGGTGGATGGATCTTGGTGAATAAGTTTATGCAGGCAGGTTCTCCGTCCAGCAGATTGTGTGGAGAACAAGCATGGAATGGAAACTCCACCGCATTTTATGCCTTCCTCAAGTAGGATGTTCCCAAAGGCTTTTTAGAAACAGTTCCTCCCAAATCAAAGAAAAAAACATACAGTCACATACAAAACAGTTTTTGAACCTATTGGCGAACCATGGCGACCATGGTGACGCCCCTTCACTCCAGGTGGTGACCTCCTCCGGCGAGCGCTTGGGGGAGGGCGCCATCTTTGCTGCAGGGGATTGTGCCGGGAAACCCAAAGGGGTGTTTGGATAGAGAGGCAACCTGGTACATGCATTACATGCAGTCACGTTTTGATCTCTTCGAACTCTGCTGTTTTGTGTTTTTGAGGTCATCGAATCATTGAAATCACCTGTCGCGGTGTTGCTTTGGAGCAACACTGATCTGTGTCCACACCAGGTCAGTAGCAGCAACGAGGCTCCGAAATGGGAGTGCGGAACCCCAAGACATGGGGATGTTTCTCGAAGTGAGGGAACCTGCAGATACCGCGTGGGTGTTGAGAGAAGAACCAACAATTGACCAACTTAGCATTTAGATCTTTTGTATTTGGATGTAGATTGTGTGCGCTGCAGATTGGGATTGGGGGTTGGATGCTGGAATGTAGAGGTGTTTCTTCAAACAGCGATACACTCCTAGATGTTCCTTTGGGTTTGGGTGCCATTCCTGGAATGATTGACAAGGTCCAGGTCTAATTAGTGTTACGAAACATTTGTCTATGCCCACACACCACCCAAACTGGATAGCTACAAGCACAGCTACCAGGCATGGGGGCACGCACCGGGGCAACCGGCTCTTAAGAGCTACAGCTGCTCACAGGCACTCCCCCCACTCTGCGGCTCAAGTAAGCAAAGTGCATTGTGTCCACACCACTGGGCCGTCGGGTATGAGCCACCGCACCGACTGTTAGGCACCCAGCCACATGAATTGAAAATGCATCGCATGCCGCTGTAGCTTGCCACACCCTGCACACCGCAGTAGCTGTCATGCCTTCACCGAGCACCGCCCATCTGCACGTCGCGTGCCATGTGCCGCCCACGAGCTTGTCACACGCCGATGATTCCATCCAAGAACATCCACACAAGCGTTATGTTGGGCTCATAACCTACGAAACATCTGTCTATGCCCACACACCACCCAAACTGGACATAATATACAATTTTTGTGTTCCGGGCACCGGCCCGGCACCGGCCCGGCCACCGGCTCTTAAGGGCTACAGCTGCTCACAGGCACTGTAATAGATGTGCTTGCCAGAGTGATCCTGAACAGAGGCAATTCCAAGGGCATGTGCACTATGGATATTTACTCTATTCTTAGACAAGCAAGATGTTCTGGCAAAAGGCAGGCTTTTGCACCATTTGTGGGCGAGAAGTGGGTTACAAGATGTTGCAAACATCCAAGCTATGACAACTCTCATGCAGCACGCTCCAGCCTCTCAGGCTGCCGCCCTTGCCAAAGACTGGCTTCCCGGCAGAACAGCAGGCGTATTGAGACCAACAATGTCAATGCATGCTGACACCAAAGACTGAGAATCCAGGAATCCAGAGTGTGCGTGGTCATTTCCATCTAGATACCGCCGCTTGAACTGTGGCCATTGCCTGAGACCCACATTGAATCTATCAGTCTTGAAACCTCCTGCTCCACCGGCTTGCGTTTTTTACTCCAAGAATGGAATTGCCAAGAGTCTTCCAATCCTGGTTGCTTGTAACTTGTAAGCGAGTTTCCATTTTTTTAAGTTGTGGCACTTGAATGATTCCAATCCTCCCGGGCCTTTGCAGCCGTTGCTCGGCTCGGTATTTGTCCGGAGGCGATGTTGGCGTGCCGGAACATCAAGGCGCCGGTGTTGCCGACCCATCGCATGTGTCGAGCTCCTGTTGGAGACTTCCCAAAGAGGTTGGATACGGTTGGGAGGGAAGAATTCATTGTGTCATTGTGATGACGTTGGATTGAGATGACTTCGACCTGAGTGCCGGAAGGATTTTCTTGGATGGTGCCGTTTTGCTTTTGTGTGAGGTATTTGGAGGGTCATGACGCCTTAGTCGCTTACCAGCCAACCTTCCGGCCCATGAAATCTATGGCGATGGCCTTTAACTTACTACTTGTCACTTTTGTTTTGCTTGTGCATACTACCTACCACCTACTAGCGACGGCCTCCAACCTTAGGCGTTGGCCTCCAACTTCCTTGCGATGGCCTCCAACCTAAAAGCGATGGCCTTTAACTTACTACTTGTCCTCCTGGTATCTCAGGTTTTTTTAACTCAGGCCGGCGTGTGGCAAACCGCAACCAAATCAGTACGCAATTCTATAAGTGTGTGTCACCTTAGGACCCGACATACTAATTATTCATTCCTCACGATGCTTTTTGTCTGAGGGTATTTGACTTTCGTCATGATTGATCTAGAAGTGGATCCATGAGGGGGAAAGCCACGTCTTTTGCAGAGCTTCGTTGTCTTTGACCATCTGTCCTGGATCTCGTCTTCAAGAGACAGATTGCAGAACGTGCACCATCCAAGTCCAAAAGCTAGGTTCATGATGGTTCATGATCTCTAATTCTGAGCCTCAGCTTTCAATTGCCACCTTTCTTTTGCGCTTCCTGTTTGTCCTGATCCCTGCGGGCTCTCCCTTTTCGAAGGCTTTGGATCGATGGTGGCCCGGGAGCCTGGCTGTCTTGGCTTCCAACCGAAGCAAGCGAAGACCCTCAAAGGTGAATATGAGGGTCACGGCATGTCGAAGCTCACAAGAAGCAAACAATTTAGACTATGACTACTGCTACTGGAGTTTTGACTACTGGAGTTTTCGTCATGAAACTTTGACTATTCGACCCATGGATTGACTGTCTCGATCTGTGGAGGTTTGCAAAACGATGCTGTGGATGCATGTCATTGCCTGGCTGCCCCAGAGCATTGTGTAGACCAGATGATGTGGTCTTGCCCGGTCAAGGTCCTGTCAACAATTTCGTTTCAACAACATTGGGTGCTGTTGTTGCCAACATTTTTTGGTTGTTCAATGATTCAATGTTTTCTATTTTTCCACTCGGTTTCATCAAGTGTTCAGCTGTGAGGCAACACCTCTGTGGCCCGCGAACTCTTCGGCCCACGCACCTCTGCATGTTTGCTTCTTGCTGTGGAACCTTGAAGTACCTCTGACTCGTAGTATCTCGTAGTACATGATCAACAAGATGAATTCAAAGAGTTTTTGACATCGATATTCTCAAAGAGCTCTGGTGCATAAGAGTGGTGAAGCTCTGACAAGAGGCCAATCTACCCTAGCCCTTATGGCTGCTAATGGCTGCAGTATCATTGGCTGCCTGCATCTCCTTTTGATGTGATCTGGCGGGTGACTGGCAGTTCGTTTGGCGCAGGTGGCTTCCCTGGGCCGCTGGGATCTTTGCCATCTCCCTGGGCTTCTCGTCGGGACAGAGGGTTTTGAGGGGAGCGTGAGCGCCACGGGCAAGGACCTTCATGTTGACACCTTTCCTGGCTCGCCAGTCGTCAGCATAGCCCCCATGTTCGAGTAGAGTGCTTGGATAGATTTGTACAGCCAAGATGCATGAAGTTACAAGTTGTAAGGGTTGAGTTTCACAGAGTTGTAAGGCAGTCTTTCGCAGAATCTGCAGTACGACAATGTCATCCAGCTGGTTTAGCCTTCTACACTACATGTCATCCAGTTGTTCGAAAAGGTCAACAATCTTGATTGAATCACGTGCGTGACAAGGGTCCCTCCCACTCAACCTGACGTTGCTGTCAATCATGCAAAGTAACTCATTCCCGGGATTTCTTAACCTACAAGGAGCTGTGTCTGGAAGCGGGTGATCATCCTGTGCCATCATTATTTAAGGGCTGCCGCCCAGTGCCGCCGACCCCAGGAAGGGAGACAAAAGAGGTGTCGGCTACGTGGAACCCCCATGTGGATGTTAAGGGGCTGGAGGACGCAGGGACGGGGCCATGGCAGTGTAGACGGGGTGGAAGTAGGGGGTGCAGGCAAGAGGGATGAAGTGGGAGACACAAGGAACGGAGACCCTAAGGTTTACTCGGGGTGGCAGTGGGACATGGCGCCAGTATAGGGTGCAGGCAAGAGATGAGGT